AAATGCCATAAACGCAAACGTCCTAGGCAGTTCATTGTTCTTGATGATTACATGTCATTACAAGGATGTCAATTCTAATAAACCTAGGTGTATATAATCATGAGTTTGTATAAGATCTCATTAGAAAAATTATTCCAATGACGTCCAAGAATTGTTATTCTCCTGAAGTTCGCTACAGAATACAATTATTCTCCTGCTTTATAATGCAAATTGTAAATAATATTTGCTCAGGTGATGAAGCATATGGTGATAATGATCATCGACTCTGTCTGCTCTGGGCTTCTTTTTCCAGCGGAGAAAATTATAAAAAAGAAAACAATGTTTGACTTTTTGATTCGTCTCATTAATTAGAATGCTCATCCATCATTTGTATTTAATCTACTTGCTTGTTATAATTAAATAATCAATTTTATAGGAATTATTACTGCATAGCTATGTTTATTAGTAACATTTTACGTGATTTTGCAAATACATTTTTAGATTTTACTTTCCTAATGAGCGAATTCCAGACATACATGTTCTCTGCTGAGGATAGTTGTAATAACAAGATTTAAACCTGTTTAAGGTCATTATTTAAAATCTTACACAGAATAGCTAACAAGTTATCGATTTTTACGATGTTCAAAATGAAGCTCATCAACGTGAAAACATCTAATAAGAAAGTTGTTGAATATGGCATATACAGAGGCTGGTATCGAGATTTGTGCGCTGTGACGGAGCATGTTATTTTTCATAAAAACACTAAAAAACACTAAATCTATTTTAACTCATAAGCTTCAGTTTGCAGACAATGATCACAGTCCATCCCTATGAATTATCTATTGCACAATTCACTTGAATGATTTCTTATGAATGAGCATAATTTCGAATTGGGAATGATAAATCAGTTCATTCAAGATTGTGAGAATCAAACGTATTCCTCCTCACACTTACGAAACTGTGATACAACGGGGGCTTGCTGTTTTAATGATTGTATTTTCACCCGGCTACATGAACACAATGTTACATCTAACTAGAGCCCCCTAAAATACCACAAACAACAAAGAAGAACGACCTGACTGGTGTGTGAACTACACGCCTGTTTACACAATTTCTTTTTTTTTTATTTTACTTTTTTCTGGTGGTCCCAAAATCGAGCTGGACGGACTCAATGCGAGCTGGACGTACTACGAACGGAACTGTCGTTCTTCAATCCTACAAGGGACGTTTTTAGAAAGAGTTGTTGACCGTATTTACACGGAAAAAGTGAATAAACACAAGGAGCACACGCGTCTCGAACTCGCAACCTTGTGGTTACGGCGCCCAATCGCATAGCCTGAACGCGCCGGCACTCAAGCCCTCTCGGCCAACTTTACAACCCCCAAAAAAGGTTGTTTTGTTAGTCGATCTGACTAGAAGCAGCTGATGTTAACGCTCAGATACACCAAAGGAAGCACCCTACTCCTTTTCCCTTTGGCACTCGTGCTTAGATATTCCCTACACATACACACGTTGCTCAACTGTCCTTTAGAACCCAGAGCGGGTTAATACCTCTGCAACTGAAAGCTCAGACAGTGGTCATAAATGAATGAACACAAGGAGCACACGCGTCTCGAACTCGCAACCTCGTGGTTACGGCGCCCAATTACCTAGCCTGAACGTACCGGCGCTCAAGCTATCTTGGCCAACTCGACAGGTCTACAGGTTCCCTAATAAAAAAGAAAGTGTGTAAATAGGTTGCCTGTGTTAGAGTCAAGAGATAATTAAAGGTATAAAAGAGTTACACCACTAAATATACTATTTTTGTATAAGTGTATTATTTCCAACATGATGTAAAATACAAGTAATCATAAGATTGAGCCATTCGAAATAGATTACCTACACTGATTTGTGAAACGATTTTTTTTTGTTCGTAAGCATCTGTGTTCGTAAGCATCTGCTACTCAGCGGAGTTGCCGTGTAATAGCTAGTCTCTCTTGACTTTATAAGAAATAAGAAATTCCCAGCATGTCAAATATGATGTACATATTTTTAAATCACCAATTTCTATGTAATTTAGTGTTTGGAGATCCGATATGAGATCACTCTGACAAAATTCTTTTCACATTAACAAGACACACATTTGTTTCTACTGACATTTACAAAAATAACAAGCAGTTTAGTTATCGATGAATAAGGGACCATGTCATCAATTCAATGTTGTTCAAAAACGAAAGTTATTGACATTACCAATTAATCTCCCTCAAAACTGCAATTGAAATTTTATTTATCATGATTACGTATATTACAAGAACATGTAGTGACTATATTAATTAAATATTACTAAATTATTAATATATTATTCTAATTATATAAAAAATCACAGATTTCAAGCAATGTGTATCAAGGAAAGACTATACATGTCTAACTGTTGCTAGCTTTAGATCCCCAACGTTAAAAATAAACGTTCGTAAGACCTAAGTTTGGAGTCCTCCACTTTCAACCTTCATATTCATCTTAAAAGGGATAGAACAGCTGACATCATAGTGTATCATCAAGTGAAGCTTAGTGAAATACATGTAGAATAAGAATATGTATTTTGGCAATTATATAATTTACGACATTATTGAAGATTAGACCCGTCATTAAGATGTTGATTGTGATCATTTCTTCGCATCTGCTTCAGATGAACTTCAGCTCAGATAAATGATGGAGATTCCCTTGAACTGATACAGCCAAATGAGACTGGATGACTTTTATGAATGAACTAGTGGACTTCTGGTTAAAAGTACTATGTAGTAAGAGTACCAGATGACTCATAAGATAGTTTGGAGAATAGTGTCTGTCAACTAACACGAAAGATATGTTTGGTGAGTACCGTCTGCACATCGGATTTAAGAACCGATTGGATGCAGTATCCCAGCGAAAGAAATAAAAATTCTAACTTCTATGCATTATTAAAAAAAGCCACAAAAAATGAAGAATTTTGGCCCACCATATAAAAATCGACCACATGAAAATGGGTCAAATATAGTTCATACAAGACAATAGACCCGAAATAAATGTTGAGTAATATTTTCCTCATGTTTGTAAGTCTAATCAACTACCTCTTGCCGAGTGTTCGCACTGGGAATTAAGTGTAGTTAGCAAGCCTATTCAGTTACGGAGGTTGCAATTATTTCATTAGGCCACATGTGTGAACAGGACCTGTCTACCCGAAATTTGCAGGTATTGACGAGCCACTGGATATTGCTCTGTCAGATAAGATATTTTTCTAGCCATCAATTTGATTGATAAGACAATTCACGTTGCGTAAAGTCGGAAAATCTGGAGACTGGCATTTTTCTGGAATACATCCGTTTTAAAATAAGACTAGTGTCAATTGGACGACCTGCCTTAAAACCATATGAAGACAGATTGCATAAAATTACATTTTTATGAGGCGAGACTCGACATAAACCAGGAAACTAGAAACATTTTGACCTATACAGCAATTCTTTGTTGCGGTTGTTGTATTTACATCGTAATGTTGTATGTTCAATCATAGTTATCACCTTTCAAAGAGTTACCTTAAAACGGTATGCAATTCTCATACTTATAGATATAAATGTGACTGTCATTCACCATTTATTAGGCAGTGAAAATGATTTGAAACATGGGTAACAAAATCTTAATATACTCTCCAAAGAAAACTTAGATTTCTGAACATATGAATGAGAGTGTATGTACGAAAGCTAAATCTGCTTAATGTCGAGTCTTGCATCACGACAATGTAATTTTATAAGAGCTCTCTACATAGGGTGATTTCAACCGATTTAGTATATACGCTCCCATTCATAAGTTCAGAAATCTAAGTTTTCTTGAGAGTATATTATATTTTTGCTATTCTATATATATTGTAGAATGTATTACAGGAATACAGATACAATCGATCTCAAGTAGAGGACACTCCAAGGGGCATATATGATCCAATGAAAATAAAAATAAATATCTACAAGATGCAAAACTCATTTGATATATCAATGCTCATTGTATTCAATAATTATGAAACATTTATGTCTAGTTTAGTTTATCCAATTCTCGATCCTCCTCTACGATTCTACCCAAATTATATGTGTTTAAGACACCAGAGATTGTTTCGAGAAGAGTTATAGTTGATAAAATGCAATTCTAAATTCTATTTCGAAGTTAAGATTCTACCAGATTGAATGATATTGTTGAACGTTGAGAAAAATGCAATTTTAGAGTAGTATATCAACAGAAGGGCTCCCAAAAGGCGAGAGTAGAAAAGTGTTTAGCATACAGTTTCAATGAGTTCTTGAATTACCATATACATGTTTAAGAATGGTTTTTCTCAAATCCATATTGGCGAGCGTTTTGTTTCTCGAGTTATAAGTCAAAAACTCAGGTATACTTGTACATTTTTCAATTGCCTTCGAAAAAAGGAAAGGAGTGAGATTTGTTCAAAGTTATGAATCAGTTCTATCTTTCAGATGAATAGGTAGCCTTGCCCCAAGTCGGTCTCTTTTACTTATCTTGATTTCTAATATGACCGCCTTGTACCAAAGAGAAAGCCACGTGCTTTACCGACAGTTTGTTTATGTCGGTGATTTTAATAATTCAAGATCAGATAAAGTAAAAAATACCGACTTGGGGCAAGGCTAATGAATATATAATGAAAATAACTGGGAATACATCTTGATTAAACGATTTGTTAATGATATGCAAATGCTACACTGGCAGAATTATTTAATACATTGCAACATTCTTTTATAACAATAGGTTTGGAATTATTTTAAACAGCTGCTGAATATGCTGAAAACTATTAAATTTTGAATTCTGTAAAACCTTAGGCGAACTGGAAAAATCCTACAAAGTTGTATATGCTAAGTTATTTCACTGATAAGTTTTTGTTTCTGAAGGAACCAATCAATGTACTATCTTGAAAAAATTTGGTTTGTTACCAGGGAGAGGAGTGTATTGCCCTCGCATTTGTATTTGAAACGTCATGCCTTAAAACCACCGATTCCAATCAATCTAGCGACTGGATCTGATTTTCCTTGATTCAACTGATTTAAATAAATATATCATCAATATGGCATCTTACCATTCCATCTGCAAAGACAAATAGAACTTGTTGAATTCAAGGCCGTGACGTTGTAAGCCTTAGAAATCAGAGATGCGGTAAATTGCGAAGAGTTTGAAGCAATTTGTAGAAAGGATTTCTGAATAGGGACGCTTTTCTATATCTTCACTACTCAGTAGTATCTAGCATTGGCAAAGTACAGCGGATCGTTTTTCCGATAAAGTTAATAATGAAGGCGATCGCAAGTAAGACAAAAGTGATGAATAAGAGGTGAAATATACGATTGTATTTTAAATCAACGACAAGATGAGCCATGTAGTTGTAAGGTGAGTAAGATTTCATTAGATAAATTAGCTTGCTAGTCAATGTATCAATTTCTTATTTTCTTCATATTTATCTTGTTGATGAAACGCTTCGGGAGTGTTGGATTTTATGTTTCATTTATTTATTCAACAAATCAAGCGAAGGATTAAGTTCTCTCATGTGCGTCCTATGAAACTTGAAATAAAAGATGTTCTATGAAGGCCACTGACAATTTACATTTTAATGATAAAAGACTTATTCAAAATATTATAACTTTCGAATGTAACTAAAATATAAGAGGAACTATTTATCGGAACCCCCGCTTGGGAGTTTTTACATCCGAGCAATCAATAATCCCAAAATAAGAAATCAGGATCTGAACATTCCAACACACACTCGTGTACGCATTATATTACTACACTTCGAAGAAGTTAAAGTTGTCACTCGTTATTTTTTGTGACTGAAATTCCTTACACAATGTAACAGATTATCACCCTATTTCCTGATTTTGAGAGAATACATATGTTCTGAAAAACTATAAAATGTCAATGCGGCAAATTAAAAGGTGCTGTCAAATTACTACAGTAGTTGATTTTGAACTGTGCGGTGCAGACATGACTTCAAAATCACCAATAGTCGAAGACATTCCACTTTCCTCCAAGCTTAGTATATCATGTTATGTCATAAACTTTATTAAGTATGTATTATGTTATACTCGAAAATTAAATAATTCAACAGGTTCTTTCGATGGAACCTGATAAATTAATGATTGCTTTGCGGATGTTAATCAAATGCCAATTAGTAATTAACACAACAAAAGTACATTTGTTACGGGCTTATTTAAACTCCTAAGAAACATATTAAATATAATCAGAAGATGTATACAATATCACTCTGGGCACAATGCTTCCTTTTTGTGATGCGAGTAAATAATAATAATGATAGCTAAATCTTCCCGTTATATCCTTGAGCTAGATCTGTCCCATCTCAAACTACTTATTCGTTGTCTTTCTAGAGATGGATTACGTTCTCATCCCATTAATGGCGCCCATAATAAAGCTTCAATTCCTGATTGTAGCTGCGTATAAACGTGTATCATAACTACACTCCCCTCTATTAATTTGGAAACCCCTATTCACCATTCTGATATTCATAGCATCTTTCTGTTTCACCTGAAACATCTCAGGGCTGAGAAGATTTGAGATGTCATGGTTTATCATGATGCCTTTTCACCACCGTGCACGGGTCTAGTAATTAGCTAGATGAAGCTTTCTTAGAACTGTTGGAATGGTTATTCTCAATTGGACCTCTGTTATAGCAAGTCAAAGTTTGATTTTTATCGACGTCTTCAACGCAAGCGCATTAGTATAATGTAAAACATTTTTTTAAAGTTAGAAAGTCTGTTCTGATCATAATTGTAAACGTACTATACTTCTAATGACAACCGCTCTTCCCAAGTAAAGAAATGAAATGAGAAAGGGAGGTTGGTTAAGATACTGGAGAGTCTAAGCATGGCATATTAAAAAATCGAAACGACAACGTATACGTATAAGTTGCCCATATACAAAGACGTAGCCGTCTACCTGTTCAGCGCTAATGTTTGTTTAAACTTCACCAACATGTAACAATATACCATCGGTAGAACTATAGCTGGTTTTCTAATATATTTTAAACGAGCTCGTTTCGTAAGATATTTGGAAAACATAAATGACATACATCATATTCTTTAGAAAAAAATCTACTGTGCATCGAAATCAAAATTATCTGCATAGCACTCGATAGACACGAAAATAATGATTCCCGTTGACACCAAATGAGATTTCAAGTTTCCCGGGATTCTGAAATAGACTAAATGGCATACATCCAAAAATGCGCACTCGATACATTCTTATTATTGATTCATGTACTTTCCGTTCGCGTTTAGGTTTTGAAAAAGAGTGCAAGCTTAAAGTCCCCATTGTCCTGTAAAACACACAGAGACAGTTAGTGATCGTTGAACTATACTATAATACCAAATCCAAATCCAATACAAGAAGTCTACTGATGAAACCTAAAAAATTGTTTGTCACTCAGATGAAGTCTATTTTCTTTACTCTTTACTTCTTCAACACATCTCAGCGGCAGAAGGAATAAAAATATCATATATAAATGGCTATTACTTCTGTCACCTGATTTGCAGTGAACCTACCATTTCAAATTGCTTTTCAATGGGATTGATGATATTCGGCCTATAATGATCGAGTTTGCCATCAATCACATCCGAAGCTACGCGTCGTAAATGCGGAAAAGTTGTTTGGAAAATTGTAATTGTACCAATGTATGAATGAGTAGTGAAGGGTATCAGATTGTACATAATGGGGACATTAATGACCCCCATAAAACTAGAGTGATTAACTCCAACCATTGTACGTCAGTTGGAAAAAACCGGTGATTGTATTCCGAAAGTCTTTGACCACTAGCGTAGCATTCTTGTACTAAAAGTTGTCAATAATCTCTCTCTACCGATTCACATAAATAGTTCCAATATCACTAACGATAAATTACTTATCGGTAGATAACCTTATCTATTAAGATATGGGTGGCAAACGGTATTAAGGTAACGACGCTCGGGAATTTGTTCAAGTTCTAATTTCTATTATGTAGGATCTGACAGAATAGAAATTACTGATTTTCAATAATATTCAGTGGGACCAAAAGAAAGATTGCAGTGTCTATATTTCAATAGAATATATTTGTGAAGAAAGTTATTTTATTGGCATATATGTGTTCGGCTTTAACATTTATGACAGATGAGATTGAGTTAAAATACGACGAGCGTGAGAGGAACCTACAGTCAATTTCTATTTCTATCCCAAGGAGGATTGGCTCCCAGAATTCCAACTCGATATTCTGCCATATTTGGAGATGTCCCGATTACAAAATTCGAATTCAAACAGCTGCCATTTTGTTCCGTTCAGCATTTAAATTGCCAGTTTTGGTCTTATTTTTAAACAAAAAATTCCAGAACACACAAGAAGCGACCGAGATACTGGTTCAAATCTTTTGGACTGTTGATTATGAATTGATAGTCAGTTATGAGAAAAAAATAACGACTGACATTTTCATTGTTGGAAAATATCGAATTGCGCCCCTGGGGGCTACACTCCTCCTTGTTTTTGTCCCAATGGTTGAATGGTTTGTAAATCTAATTTCAGCTAAATGTGTTTGTTGTGATATGCGAATTTCAAACAAAGCGGTTATCTTATCACGTCACATTCAGCAGATGTCAATTGGTTTAAGTTGATTTACAATGAATTCTGGGGAAAAAAAAGACGTTTGATTAATTACCATTCAGCCATGGTGATAAAAACAAAAATTACATGTCGAACTTTCCTACAGTTCGATTACCATACTGGGCCTAATTAACTTTGATGTTTGTAAAATACCGAGGACAAGTCAATGTGTCATGGTGGGGTGGTGTAACCAAACAATAAACAATATGTAAAATGGTCGAGAAAGCGGATAACCAGTCTGCTTGAAATAGATTGTGTACTCTGTATTAGTGTTACTTATTCTAAAACATCTCAGTGTTTGTTTCAGAGATGTAGTACATTGTATCTGTCCCGATTGGGAATCATTTTTACGTTCATTTATATGAAACACAAAATCACCCACAAATGACTCGATCCAGAATCACGTCAGGGACCATGTTTTTGAAATCTTAGAAAGTCCAACGCTCTGGGGCATTTACAAAACATTCGTCCTTAAGACATCTCAATCAATAACCTTCCTATGAGTATTTTAGAGACGTGTTACTGGTGGGTATTATGAGGCCCGAGAAATCAAATACATCAATCCCTGTCCCTTGTGTTAAACACCAGACCTGTGGTAATTATTTTATTCATGACTTCGATCGTGAACACATTTTGTTTTGGAACATATCCATATAAAAGGTGCATGCTGTAAGTATGCGTACTTCCTTGAATAACTAAATCACAATGCCGCTATTGGCGGATTCAGGGGGAGGGCGCATGGTCCTCCCTTGAGCGGGCCCAGAAAAAATTGCGCCCTAAAAACGTCGAGCCCAACATTGTTTTTGGCATCAACTAGTGGACCTTTTTGGGTTTGGCCTTATTTGTGCCTTTTTAGGCCAAATTATTAAAAGTGGACCTTAAATTTGGGATTTAAGGGCACCAATTTTTTCTGATTTTAAATTGCCCCCCCCCCCTTGTTAGCTTCTGGATTCACCAGCGCAATGCTATATTGTTTATTAGTTCAACCATAATAGTGATTTGAATTTTCCTCATTTTTGTTTAACTCCAACGGTATGGAAACGTGTTTCCCAAATGACGACCCTGTGCACTTCTTACAACCATCATCTGCTCTAATCGTTGGGTATGAGAAGTTCTTTTAGCTTTTTAACGTTAATGTGATCTCCGCATGAGCACAAATCTGCTTTTATTCCAACTATGAAGGGCTGTGCTGTGTTTATTAATCAACTCATTGTTGATCAAACTCTAAAGCTTAAGAGCTAATCAACTATCTATCAACTATCTTTAAGAACTCATAAGGAAACAAACCAGCTTTCCAGATTTGAAGAATTTGTTCTGTTCTTAAAGTAAACGATTCTTTTTGTCTATTCCATTAAACGTGTTAACAGAGTGCTTTCTTAGTGGGGCTTAAGATAACAGAAACATATAATTACGCTTTACGTTCCGTGTAGTGACTGAGATACGTGTTCATCCGGATCCGGGTCGTTTCTAGAATAGAGGAATGTCAAAGAGATGAGATCAATCGTACCGAACATTAGAAGAAATTGAATTTCATCACTCACACCATGTTTTTAATATAAGATATCAGACGAACTCCTATAATTTAATATCTATAACGCAAAATCAATGCAACAAATGATTTTTGAGTCATTAGATATAAAAATAAATTTATTTCTCTTAAAATAGACATTCTATTTGGGTGATTTGAGGAACAAAAATTTCGCAATCAGTTGCATTCAAATGATGAAGATCACGGTCGCCATGTTCGTATC